GTCTTAATGCAATTTTAGCCCCAGTTGATGTATCTGCTAAATTACCATCAATCGCGCGAAAACCTCCTATGCTACTCCTGTATAACAGGCACAAACTGACTTGGAGATTAATTGGACAAGATACAAATTGTTGTCAACAGACAATGATGGTAAATTAATGCCACACAAGCCCAGAGCCAAGCCAGGCCGACAGAAGAAAGGTGGCCTATGGATCATAGCTGTGTGAAATGTCCACAGCATTTTAAGAACAGAGAGGAATGTATGAATTCAGCACCTTGGTTCCCATTCAGCAGTGCCTGATGGGTGAGAGACTCTACTCTGGAACATCACAGTGAACTGAGGCGCTGATGTCCATATATTTGTCCTGTATTATACACCTAACTTTTGATATGACTTATTAAGAGGCCACAGTTATTTACACTGCTCAAGAAGTGGCAAAAACCATAATGGTGGATGCACTCACTACGATCTGCAATGAATACGAGTTGATCTTGAACTGTGAAATATGATATTACATACTCTTAAACAGAATCATTTTATACAGTGAAACCCTTTTTCAATTTCCAGTGAAACCCTTTCACTATTTCCAATGAAACCCTTTCACCATTCCCAGTGAAACCCTTTTACCATTCCCAGTGAAACCATTTTACCAATTCCTGTGAAGCCGTTTACTATTTCCAGTGAAATCCTTTTAACATTTCTAGTGAAATTCTTTTACCATTTCCAGTGAAACCCTTTCACCATTTCCAGAGAAACCCTTTTACCATTTCCAAGGAAACCCTATTACCATTTCCAGTCAAATCACATAAAGGTTATCAGTAAAACCCTTTTACCTTTTCCAGTGAAATACCTTTTACCATTGACAGTGAAAACATGTTACCATTTCCAGTCAAATCTTTTACCATTTCCAGGGAAATCCTTTCACCATTTCCAGAGTAACCCTTTTACCATTTCCAAGGAAACCCTATTACCATTTCCAGTCAAATCACATAAAGGTTATCAGTAAAACCCTTTTACCTTTTCCAGTGAAATACCTTTTACCATTGACAGTGAAAACATGTTACCATTTCCAGTCAACCCTTTTACCTTTTCCAGTGAAATACCTTTTACCATTGACAGTGAAAACATGTTACCATTTCCAGTCAAATCTTTTACCATTTCCAGGGAAATCCTTTCACCATTTCCAGTGAAACACTTTTACCATTTTACAGAGAAATCATCCCGATTACATTTGAGATTAACAGATAATTGCTATGAAGAAATGTCCTTTGACTAAACATATTGCCCAAAGAGTGGCATCAAACTAACACTGTTTCATAGTCATTCATTACAACATAACAACACAGAATTTAAATCAAGAAAATGCACAAATAGTTGTGTCAGCGCACCGAGAAGAAATAAAGAAACCTTATTGCCTGATCAAGGTTTTTCAAACGAGACGCACCCGTCCCAATTCATGAAGCCAATGTCCTGAAGAAATTAACTATCCCGTCAATGATTCAACAGTTCCATTTCATGAAACCAAGACACCAAAGACATTCACCATCTTGTCTGGTAACATACTTTTGTCTGAGACAGCCTTGGTTTGTATCTAAAACAGTTGCTCAATAGTTTCATTTCATAAAGCCAAGATGCTAAAGACATTCACTATCCTGTCTGGTGATTAGGGCTGCAACGATACAGGAAGGTCACGATACGATACGCATCTCGATATTCTGGTCACGATACGATACGTTTCTCGATACGCAATGATAAAAAAAACAAGACTTAAAGCATGTCAAGATTGAACCTTTCATGATTTTGGAACAGTTAAAATTATTTTATAATAACAAGACTACTGAAGTGGTTAGGCTTCAAAGTGGAACTTTCCCTAACTTTCCTTCAAAACAATTCAAAGTTGAAACACCAGAAAATAATTAATGTACTTCACCAGTGATACAACTTCAAAGAATTGTGATGCAATGGTCGAATAAATTGTATCTGAAATTATTGTTTTATCAGGAATAATATATTCCAATATCGTGTTACCTTAGTTGCAGCTTTTACTATATATATTCTTAAAATTATAAGAACCACAAGAGTAGCATTTTGGTACTGGTAATTGCTGTTGTAGGATATTTTTACGTATGGAACAATTTGACCAGTCACCATAGGGACTTCCCACGCTACATGTATTTCGATTGCAAAAACGTTATGTTGACATATATTAGCCAAATTGCCAAAAATATGACTTTTAACGAGTCAAAGTAGGGCATTGTTAATATATGTATCCATTCTCTAGCAACTAAAGTTTGTTTCAATGAGTCAAAAGCGATAATCTGACAGTGGTTGCTGTATCTCTTCACACGCGATTTCACCTAACTTAATGAAAACAATATTAAATGAAATTTTTAATAAAATTAATAAAATATATTACAAACACAAGTCCAGATATACAATGAACACGTTTTAATAAAAAAGATAGTATAATAATGGTATTGAATTGCGTACTTCAGTTCGGATTTGCTGACTGGTATTTCCGGTGTTAAGTGCTTGCCCTGATCAGCTAATAATGTTTTTTGGGATGGGGAAAAACACCTGTCAGTGTAAAACCTGAGCTTATTAAAAATGTAAGTACGTTTTTTGGAGCCATGCATTACCGCGCACAATAACCAAGTTAGCGGTTTATTAAAAGACACAATAGCGAGGAATCGCTGTACTTGAGATTTGCGTTCCGTATCATGGTGTATCGATAAATGGGCCCACATTTATCGTATATCGTATCGTGGGTCAATTATCGCGATGCATCGGAATATCAATCTATCGTTTCACCGTTACTGGTGATATACCTTTGTCTGAGAAAGCCTTGGTTTGTATCTAAAACAGTTGCTCAATTATATAAGTTTCATTTCATAAAGCCAATATGCTAAGGACATTCACTATCCTGTCTGGTGATATACCTTTGTCTGAGACAGACTTGGTTTGCATCTAAAACAGTTGCTCAATAGTTTCATTTCATAAAGCCAGGATGCTAATGACATTCACTATGGTACAAAATAAACTATTGCAGAGAACCTCCTTGTGTCTTGTAATGATCTTGAAGCCCTCCTTCCTCCCCGCACAGAGCCATTAATAACCGTATCCTCATGGATGGGGGATAATGAAAACTGTACATTACGCCAGTGAAAGAAGAGATCAATATACCGAACAAATACACGAAATACTGCGCCCTATAACAGATCCAATAAATCACTATCATACCAACCTTATATATCGGTAAAAAAGTCTCAATTGAAACATTAATATATTTGAAGTTATTGTAATAAAGGGATAGAAAATTAATTCATTTAGCTAAGAATGCTTTGAAAAAAAGCAATTACCTTTTTCCTTAATTCTGCTTAATGGTAATGTCATTATTGATTAGATATTAAGGCTCCATTTTATCATTTTTATTGCACAAAATGATGTAATTTTCAGAAAACATGCTCATTTTCGCTGAGAGCTTGGTTGTTATTTTGAATGTCATAATCTCGCAGCAGTTTCACTTTACAAACTCATTCATCAACTACGCTTAACAAATGGCAAAGCTGTTTCGAAATATTGTTTCCACGAAAAATAATAGTTTTTCAGTAATCTTTGGACTACCTGAAGTTTGGATGTAATCCTTTAACAAAGACAGTGAATTTAATGACATTATTCCAGCATTCATGTTTCTCTAAGTCAGAATAAAAACACAAACCAGGTCAAGCCAGACCCTTGACTAGTGTCACAAAAATCAATGAAACTAACAATTAAAATTTGCATTCTAATGAACTAGTTCCATTATGAATGTTTATCATTGAAAAGAACTCCAGAAATGTTACAACAAAAAAGAAAAGCCTTTCATCTCAAAGGCATCAACCTATTTATCATAATTTTGACTTCTAAAGGAAATAACAAAATCTAATTTAAAAGCTAAAGAAACGATATTAAAATTTCAAAACTGAAATGATTCATGCTTTTGACCAAAGTTTTACAATGAAGTGATAGAAATTCAATCAAATTCCAACTATTTCTTTCGATCATTTCCCAAAACAGTGCAAACAAGCCAAGAAACCAATATCTCACTGTGAGGTTTAATTAGTGTTTTCTTTATCCATTTTCCACAGAACTGTGCGATTAGCCTTGGACGATATGTCTTCATAATTCAATAGCAAGTCACGTTAAGTCATAGGGTTTGATGGACAGGACAGATTAACAAAACCTAATAAAATCATAATTGTTTATGTTAGTGTGACTCATGTATTATTCACGATAAAAGATGTTTATTCCTTTTAGTTGTCTTGGTTGAGATAAATGAACACACATGGAAGTGGGAGTAGTTAAACACAGTGGCCCGGGAGGCTGTGTAAAACCACAAAGAGAAATTAGCATCTCAGTAAGTGCTCTGTTGAAAACTTACCTGTAATTAGCCAGCAGGTGAGATGTGCCACCTAGAACCCACCCACCATGCCACACACAGCAGAACAACCCCTAGAGGCACTATCTGAAAAATAAGAAACATAACTTTATTAATCATACATATTTTTTTCTCAAATCAAATTCCATCTGAAATCATAAATGTAACAAAATATGCTTTCTTTTAGGAAAATGTATGTCAAACATTTTCACATTTAAGACGTTCACAAAATTTAAAAGTTACATTTAATTATTGTTTTTACCTCACCTGCATGACATTATTTGGCCATGTGGCTTAGTGCCATGTGGCTTAGTACCATGTGCTTGTAAGGACTAGGCTTTTGATTACATTATGAAGTCAAACATTGACCAAAGAGATTTAAAAGAATCTAGGGATGTCAAGTATTGTACATATTTAATGTCAATGCTGTATTGATATAAAACTATGAATATCAATACCAGGTTAATACATGTAAATGTATCTGTGGCAAAGAAGTATTACCATGGTTATGATGGACAATGAGAAGGCAGAAATTTTATTTAACAATTTATGGTTCATATTTAGCATCAAATTAAATAATTGAATGTCTCCTGACTGTAAAGAGAGCCCTGAATGTGTGGAGAGTCCTGGCAGTGTAGAGAGCCCTAGCAGTGCAGAGAGCCCTAGCAGAGTGGAGAGCCCTAGCAGTGTAGAGAGCCCTAGCAGTGTAGAGAGCCCTAGCAGTGCAGAGAGCCCTAGCAGAGTGGAGAGTCCTAGCAGTGTAGAGAGCCCTAGCAGTGTAGAGAGCCCTAGCAGTGCAGAGAGCCCTAGCAGAGTGGAGAGCCCTGAATGTGTGGAGAGCCCTAGCAGTGTAGAGAGCCCTAGCAGCGTAGAGAGCCTTCTAACCCCAAATGTAATAAGCATATAGTTGACGAAGTCATCTATATCCCCCGCCCATTTCAACACGTTATGGTCCCAAACCAGGTAACTGATCCAACACTTCTCTTAGCCCATGTCAAAATAGCTGCAATGGAAATTCTAAAATAAACATTTCTAAAACTCCTTAATATCAAATGGCACCAGTTCAGTATGTGCTTTATATGTAGACATGCAATGTTTGGCAAGGATCTATCTGTTATCTGTTATACTCCATGAGTGAACCCACCCTACATTAAAACTTAAATCCAACTTGTTACCATGGAAACGTAAAAAACAAACATTTCTAAAATTTGAGTTATGCTCCGGAAACGAACTCTACCCTATAGAACCTACATCCAACTGCCATGGAAACATAAAAAATCTAAATTTACAAAATTCCTAAATAGCAAAAGGCACCAGTTCAGCATGAGTCTGATAGACATGTAAAGTTTCGTAGAGAAATATTTAACGGTTTCTGAGTTATGCTCCGGAAACAACTTCGGGACACGATCACACACGCACGGACGGACGGACGGACGAAACCCATTTACATATCCCCCGCCAACTTTGTTGAGGCGGGAGGATAATGACCTTTATACATTTGTTTATGTCTTTGGGAATGCCAATACAGTTAATTTTTAAAAGGTTTACGACTGACCAAATTTCCCAGATGAATTAACCCTTTTGTTTGTTTGATCGGATTGGTTCGAGATTGCAGACCAACGAAAAGCAACCAACTTCTCCCTTACATTGTTACTATACCAATTACATGATAGTTGTAATGAAACACAAATTCAAACTGACAAACAAAGAAAATAATTTAGCAGTGGTAAGAGTATTCGTGCCACGGCAGTCATCATTTGTTTGTAAACATAACGGTCAGTCGGTTGCGAGTTCAACTCCAAGCATGGTTGTAGCCACTCATCAGAGTGGGGGGCTCTGACTGGTGGCAGTGATAGTATAGTTGGCTACTTTGTTTTAGCATTAAAAATTAATGTAACAAAAAAAATTTAAACTATTTTCATTTCAGGGACGTCAGAGATGTCAGACCATTACACTAATTACATATCCTAGAGGGCAGACTGTGCCTTGTCATGTCCAGTTAATTCCCAAATTTGTTATATTTCTGAAATGAATGTACCCGGGATTATGATTCACAAAAGTTACAAAATGTTGAACATATTTTACAGCAGATCAGCTAGATCCCTACACCGTCCATGACGGAGTATTGGAACTGTGTGATGGTAAGCGTATTTATATCCCAGTAGATAATAGGGTCACTGGCTACAATCAAACCACATCACACTCACAATCTGCTTCCCCCACAAAGGACGCCACAGTGAGATGTGTTACTGTTGAAGTTTTAGATCAAATTAAAGTATTGAGCAAACATTACCATATCGGTTGTACCCTTACACTGCTTATTACTTCAGAATTTAGCTGTTATTTTGTAAAATCTGTCAATCATTTGGAAATCCCTGACTATCAAATTTCAGTTAAAGTACTCCTACCCCAGTGATGAATGAACCACGGCCTCGTCATCACCAGGGACTGTTTTGTAATAGAAGCAGCCGCAGGGTTCTCCCAAGCCAACAACCACCTGTCTAAGCCATTATACATTCAAAAGCACATTGCACAATTAATATGGAACAAAAACTTTTGAGTTTCAAATCCCGCGTAGGAAAGTCTAATAAAGACATCAAACCTAACCTTCAACCTTCAACACTTACATGGTCTACCAACATTAAATCCAATATTTGTTTAAGATTAACGGTGTACTATTTCCCTATAGCTGTCTCTGATTAATGTTAATGTCGACTGAATAAGGCCAAAAGACGAAACCCACCCAACTAACTGGCCCATTCTACTTTCCCTTCATTCAGGGTTTATGCTTAAGTTGTCCTTTTCTTAAATGAAACCAAATATAACCACTGCAACAACATGAATTATTAATTTATCCCCAAAGCAAATTGCTATTTTAGAAAACTTTGAATTATGAATTGGTCTCTGGAAACTAATGTGATTACACTGAAATAAGAAAACAAATTCATTTTTTTTCAAAACAACTTCAACAAAGTATGCTTTTCATCTATAATTAATAAGTGCTCTTTTCCTTTTTATAACAGTAATTCCATTTGCAAAACCTCAGTTTGGGGAAATAATTAAATTAAAGAAATGAAATCGTTTCCTAGGAGACCGATAGATGCATCTTGTGTAATGTGAAAACTACAACACACGGATTGTGGATTGACAAGTTCATTTCTTCTTTGGCATGTGATTTCAATGTTGTCATTTAATAGTTTGAAAAGACAATAAAACCTTTAGTAAGGTTTCCATTTAAATTAAGCCATGATTTCCAAAACATTGCTAGGCATTGTAACTACAATGTGTGGAATGTAGGAACGTGTCACTGCTGTAGACAATCTGTAATTTCAGACATTAGTACAGCTGCATCATTCTCCAGTTTTGTTTGTTTGTTTGTTTGTTTGTTTGTTTGTTGTTTAACAATACACTTAGCAATATTCCAGCTATATGACAGCGGTCTCTAAATAAGGGTCTGGACCAGATTGATTAGATCATGAGCATCGATCCACGCAATTGGGATCGATGACATGCATCAACCAAGTCAGCTAGGCTGACCACCTGATCCCGTTAGTCGCCTCTTACAACAAGCATAGTCGCCTCTTACGACAAGCTTGGGTTGCTGAAGACCTAGCCTACCCCAGATTTTCCAGTACGAATACATTCTCTAGCATGTCTAGTACAAAAGATATATTTCAAACTGCAATTTTTGTTAAACGTCAAAGAGATTTTCCACAGAACATCATTTTAGTTTCAGATGATTATATTAATTTGCCAGTATTATGATAAGTTTGTGTGAAAATATCTATTGGATTCCATCAAGATTACTATTGCAGTTATAACTCAGGTCTGTCAAAGTCAACAAATATAACGCCTCAAATATTTGCCATGTGCTGGTGACTGTTGGTTCCCAACATAGAAATGATTCCAGGAGAATTATATACGATTTAGATAAGAAATTGATTGATGAGATTTTCAAGTTAATAAGGCAATATTATGGCTCAATGAAAACATGTTGATGAAAGATTTAGGAGGTTTGAGAGGAGATATGAAAATATCACCCCTAAAATATTCCCGGATAGGTTATGCCGCTTTGAGAATAACCCAAAGAACATTATCATTAAATTTTATGAGCCATCTGCAAAGCTCGATAGATGTGATTTGGCTGTCACATTATATGCCTGATAAACACTACACAGCGATGGCAGTTCAATTGGTCAACAAGGTCAGACCTAAGAATGATCTTGTCTCAAAGAAAAACCTACACAAAATACAAAAAACAATTTAAACAGTAGTTCCATGTAAAGACAGCCACTTAAAACCAATCTTGCTGTCAACAGTGATATTCACAGAGGACGAAACTCCAACATCAACATTTAACGATTTGAACTTATGTCATCATTAGGAGAACCATACTTGCCAAAGTTCAGCTCATTCAAAGTAGCAGTTTCAGAGAAGTTAACAGATTCAAATACGTATTTTGAGAGAATATAACAGCATGGTCACAAAAAGGGAAAAAAATAAAATATTACAAAAAAACAGAACGTATTTGGTGAATCCCATTCTTAACAAACCAATCAACCAATTTCATTAACGGTACATTTTCTCCCCAGAGGTCAGGCAATGGCCATAAATAGGATTTCTCAATATGACTGTCCAAGCAGCCATAATGAAAATCAGATTCAAACCTTTTGAACAAATTCAGGTGATACTGTTTGTGGGAACAATCATATTAAGTTTCAGCTTCATTGGTGAAGTGATCTCTGAACTGGTTCGACAGTAGCAACACAGCTAGTGACACACTCTGTCGAACTGGTTCGACATTAGCGTTGAGAGCTTTAAGGGCAAAGAAATGCATTTTGACAGGATTTAGGAGCATGGTCAAAGTGCAAAGATAAAACAAAGGCCAAAATGTTTTTAAATGTTAAACGTGTGTTGAGATTTACTACTACCTACACATTATTAGTCATGCCTCGCCCAATATTTTCCTGCTAACCTAATATGACACCGTATACAGCAACTCAAGACACCATAACGAATTTATTATGCCGAAAAGTTTACACTATTTGGTATCTTTGTCGCACATGTCATGTCAAAATAAAAACTTGACACTTACAACCGGTATAAACGACAGGACCAGTACATATGTTTCCGGTACAACGCTTTAATGTAAACATTAACGTTAACAATGGAATATATAATGCACTAAATGTGAACGTTTAAAGTATTATAGCTAAAATGGATAGAATTATCATAAAAATGCCCGCATGTCAACAGAAATCTGCGGGCCACTGTAACTTGATAGCAGTCCCTTTCCCCTAACGACAGGCTGCTATCTATTCTCTTGCTATGTGACATCATTGGTGTCACTTTTTTTTGTGTGACGTTATCCTATAGTATATGTTCTATGACGTTGCTATTTGTACCTCTGTGACCTCCGTTGTAAGCTTTTTTTCTCTATAATTTTATAAATAAAGTCATGAACATGGTTTCTTTAATAAATAATGTCTTTGCTCATCACAATTAATGATATTAAAACACAAAACAGTGTCGAATAACGGATTTCGGTACCAGAATTTCCATGTGAAATATGTGAGGTGGGTGTTACTGACGGTATACGGTCTCATATCAGGTCAGTAACAACCATCTTGGATTTTTACTGACGGTATACAGGCTCATGTGGGGGTCAGTAGTTCTGCTCTCTGATTGGTCAATCTCACTTTGATTGGTTGGTTGGTTGGTTGGTTTGTTGTTTAACGTCGCACTCAGCAATATTCCAGTTATATGACGGCGGTCTGTAAATAATCGAGTCTGGACCAGACAATCCAGTGATTAATATCATGAGCATCGATCCACGCAATTGGGATCGATGACATGCATCAACAAAGTCAGCGAGCCTGACCACCCGATCCCGTTAGTCGCCTTTTA